GGAAACACCAGGGTTTAACATATCATGATCAAGTTTTGTCAAAGGCTTTTGCATGCAGTATCAGCAATACTAAATTGCTACCGGTGTTTCAGCATAGGGAGAAGCTGGGTCCTGTTCACCTGGTGAACCCTGTTAGTTCCTCACTGAACACTTGATTACAGACTTCAGGGAGCCTTTTGTCTCTTAATCTGCTCCATCACAGGTTATCTCTCAGAATATATGCTATGAAGCAATACCCCTTTCTCTGCTTTGTTGCTGTTACTGATTAAGCCACCCTTAGGAAGACATCACTTCATGCAGCAAACAGTATGAAGACTTAGCAACTTGTTTCCTTTGTGCACACATTTCAGTGTGGTTTCCTTGAAGCATTTGAGAAACAGTGGGTGAGGTCTGTGTATTTGCTCAGCAGGATTGAACAAAGAGATAGTACTATTTGCAGACTTGGATGAGCTGAAGTGCAGCAGCTGATGGAAGTTTTTGTTGGGTGAACTCAGCAGCTTGTTTGAACAACAGAAATGAATCCTGTTCCTGGAGGGGAAGAGGTAACTCAGTGTTGTATGTGGTGCCAGGGTGTTGTAGCACATGTTGTGAGCTCTCTTTAGGGGGAGGCAAGATGGGTTTTTCTCTGAACCAGATGGCCAGTTTCTCAGAAAAGTGCATTAATACCTAGTAGCAAAACCCAGGGACCTTTTCTGAGCTTTCTTTTCATTAATAACCTTAATCTTTCCTTAATCTCGGAGCTGACGTCCTTCCTTTTGTAAGACCATACATGCTGCTGCAGGCTGGCTGCTGTTGCATGTGCCTGTTAAATAAGTTCAGGACACTCAAAATGGTATCAAATGAGAGATTGTATTCCAGGTTCAGTGGTCTGTTGGAACAGAAGCGGTGGCAGGCAGCTAATGACAAAACCCAAGTGCAGCTAGCAGCAAGAAAAGCAGAGATCCTGGGTAACTTTGGAGTAAGTTCAGGCACTGCAGTTAGTGTGACTTGGCAAAGGAATCAGATCTCTTTCTATCGATATAAAATAGCAAAGCTCTTGCTGATACTGATAAAAGGCAGCAATGCAATGGAGCAAATAAAACCCAATTGTATTGGCAATGGGAAAAATGCTCTTCTGGCTTTCTTTTTACTCTGTTGTTGTGGAAACTCCCACCCTGCAGGCAGCAATTTCCTGTTAGCCTAAACTTTGCTGCACTTACCCTGAACTTTGCAGCACTTCAAATCTATGAACCGTGTCTGTGTTTCTTCCATATGGGGACCCACAGGCTGCTGGCCAGAGCTGATGCAGTCAGCAGTTGATCAGCTCCTCATTGCAGATTCAAGCTTTTAGCTTTTCCTGCTGGATGGGATTGTCCCTCAACAGCTCCTCTCTGTTGACAATAAGCAATGTCCTGGGGTTAAATTACCAGTTATCCAGTCTCCCTTAATACACCTTCATGGGGTTACCTTTGTTACAAATGCCTATTATTTTCAAAATGTAAAAGTAAGACTGCATAGTCTTAGTTGCAGCTGAAAGATTGAGACTCAAAATACTCATTTTTGTAAGAGAAACTCAGAAATGAGGGGAAATAACTATATTTGTAATGAAGAACCTATATGAGCCAATGAGGTTTATTTTTCATTGACGTTCTATTTCTTGGCTAATACTATATATTTTTTCTGTGTTATACAGTGTTAGATGCTATGGAATGTATGGTAGCATGTACTCTTGTTACTATAGATTATATAGTGCTATATACTGTAATCCCATGAGGGCTAGGAGGGGAAAGGAGTGAGCCTGAGACATGTTGACAGACATAGCATCAGCATTTTGAGGTAGCATAATGCAAAGGTCTAATTGAAAATCTCCTTTGTCCTCACTCCTTAATGATCATGGAGGCTTCTGCTGAAGGAGAAGTCCCTTCTGCTTCCAATGAAACATTCACTTCTCTTGCACATAAATCACCTAACATATAGGAGCGTATATTTTTTGCAAGAAACAACTGTGGTTGTCATTTCTCTAGCAAGACTGAGCTCCATTCCTGCTTCTACCTCTTGACTTGCTTAAGGCTTCTTCTGAATGTGGAAGTGCTTGCAAACAAGGCACAGAGACCCCTTAGGAAGCAGTGTGTGCAGACTGAAAGTCTGAAGAATACAGGTGTAAAATAAAAACACAAGTCTGAAACAGAAAAACAGACTAAACTATTAGAGAAGCAAATATTAATCTTTGTAATGCTTGAAAGTATTAAACATGTCTTCTTGTCTCCCCCGTAGACTGCAAACAATCAATGAGGGAAGAGGAAGGCACAGTAACTATGAACAGGAGAGGAGCTATCAAGCAAGCCAAAATCCACTACATCAAAAATCATGAATTTATTGCTACCTTCTTTGGACAACCTACGTTTTGTTCTGTCTGCAAAGACTTTGTATGGTAAGAAGGAAACACTAAACTTCCCCTACCCCCATTAGGTTTGCATCCTAATTTGCTGGCCTCTCAAAACACACTGTCTTATCTTCTAAATCTTGCTTTCTAAAGACAGAGGATTCTGAATAGCAAAATTCAGACCAGTTTATTAATTGGACCAAGTATTTCCATAGCCAAAGGCTTGATTGGTTGACATGACCTTTTATTCCAGCAAACATATGGGGTTTTTATTTGCTTCTTTATCATTTGTTTTTCAGGGGACTCAACAAGCAGGGGTACAAATGTAGGCGTAAGTTGACTTTTTACCTTTTTCTTGTACTACTCTCCAGCTGAATCTGTAGATCTAGTAGTTACTGTTGAAAATTTCTGTTAATATGCATGGCACAATGCATTATCCACAGAGGTAGCAGTAGATGTTGAACATCAGTTTTGCATAATAACCTAAGGCTGTCTAATTATGATTTCCAGTTGAGATTCTTAGTATCAAGCTTTAGATTTGGCTGTTCTTCTCATAAGTGTGTAATTTTGTTGAAAAGTTGCACTCAGTTCTGACAGAAGTTTTCGTGAAGCCTGTGCTAAAATTAATTACAACTACTGAGGGGTTTTATAGCTTATTTGAAAAGCATTTTTGACTTAGCATAGATCTCTGCGTTGTCCAAACAGTAGGGGAGATATCAAATGGCAAAACTCATGAGCATGATATTATCTTTCTGTTATCAAATGCTGGTGGCATTGCCTAATGGGAGTAGATTTAGTTTAGCAACTGAGTTTATGCTAAAAGAAAATGGGGTGAATCAGCTTTAAAGAATCATCATCTTTATAGAAAGGAAAGGGTTCGTTCTAGGTACTATGATGGAAAGGAGTATGGTTTTCACATTACCCTATGAAATGCAAACATCTGTTCCCATGTATTTATTACCTGAAGGAATCTTTCTTTTTTCTTGTGCATGTCTTGAAGAATGCAATGCTGCTATTCATAAGAAATGTATTGATAAGATCATTGGGAGGTGTACTGGTACGGCGGCCAACAGCAGGGACACAATGGTAAGAGCTGGATCAATGTATTTAGAATATAATTAAAAACACAAGTAACAAAACCTTGTCCAGAAACAGCCAAGTCCATTTGGGAGGTGCTTGGCTGTACAACCTAAGGTGCTGTCTTCCCCTGAAGGTTGTATATAATGTGTAGAGGATGAAACTCTAAAGCAAGAAAAGAAGTTAAAAGCCCTGCAAGAAGGGGTTGGGTAGTAGTTGCTGGGCAGGTTCTGTTCCTGCTTGATGAAGGATGTTGAGGCCAGGGTATTCAAGATAAAGTTGTTGCAGCTTTGTAACATCCAAGCAGTTTTTTTGTGAGAAGCTGGTCCTGTTGTGGGGTAGGGTGCCTCACCCCTCTCCTTGTCCTCAGTTTCAAAAGGAACGTTTCAACATTGACATGCCTCATCGCTTCAGAGTTTACAACTACATGAGCCCTACCTTCTGCGACCACTGCGGCAGCCTGCTCTGGGGGCTGGTCAAACAAGGACTCAAATGTGAAGGTACAGAGAAGGAGGGAGGGTAGCTGGGACCTCTCCACGCTTTTCCAGTGTTCCACCCGCACTAGAGATGAGCTATTGCTACACACTCTGTGTTTCTGTTTGTGTTACATATAATGGGTTTTGTCTCATCCGTGTGTGGTGAAAAATGCTTTTATAGTAGAGAGGGACAAATTGGCACTTGGCTCATGTGACAGCTCAGCCAAGGTGAGCTGCTAATGGAGTCAAAACGTGCTGCGGAGGTGTAATTGTGTGTATAATCAAAATTACTACTTTGGGAATAGCTGAAATTTGGTGAGTCTGACTCAAGGTAGCACTTAAAAGCGTATTCAAAGTGTTGACTGTAAATAACACTTTTATAATTCTCCCACAAAAAGGCAAGGTGATCTTCATTGTAACAGATTTTGAGAACAAAGTAATGAAGGTTTTTTTCCTTTTGAACGATTTCTGTAGCCTTCAGTGATTTAAAGATTAAAATAACAATGATAGATCCCTGTCCAGTCTGGTCTTAAAACAAGGTTTCTGAACTACACAGAAAAGCTGCCCCTTTTGATATAACATCAGACAGTAGTTTCCCAATGCTTGTATAACTGACCTTACATTTCTTTTAGAATGTGGGATGAATGTGCACCATAAATGCCAGAAGAAGGTGGCAAACTTATGTGGAATAAACCAGAAGTTGCTAGCTGAAGCTTTAAATCAAGTTAGCCAGGTATGCTTTATTTCCATTCCTCAGGTAATTAATTGCTTTCAGAGCATTTGGGGGTCTTTATATCATCTTTTCCATACCACTGTTATGGGAAACAGAGTTTGGAAGGGAGGAAATGCAAACAGGGTTCTCTAATTTGACCCTTAAAGAGACTAACAGAGATCAGTAGCCTAAAGTTAAAACCGCAATGGGTATGAGTTCCTGAAATCCAACTCTGTTGTTTTGTGGTTTCAAAGGTTATTCTCCCACTTTCTGTTTAATGGTGTAAACAGTGGAATTATAACATTGAAGTCTGTTCTTCTGTGCTTCAACTTTAGAATTTCACTTGAATGCTAAGATTAAATGAGGAGAAATATACCATATATTCTCAATTTTTATTAATCTGGTGTATAGACACAGAAAACTGGAATTAACACTGGCCCCATAGTTTACATTGTTCATCTCCTGCTGCAGCACGACTGTCTCTTGTGGTCAGCTTCTGACTTGCAAATAAAGATCCGAAAGCTCTGAAATAAAACAGGAAAAGAAATATATCGCAAAATCCAACAGCATTTCCTCTGAGCTGAGTGTTCTGAAGCTTTCACAGCATATTGACTTTGAAAGCAGTGAGAGCTCTTCCACCAGCTCTTTTATGGCGCAGAAGGGTTTGATCTTTTAATTACTAAATTTTGATCTCTGGGATCTTCCATACATAAAATTTGCTTCTGTGTGCTAAGACAGATGTCACACGCAGCTATGACTTAAGCAGGTCCAGTATGAGAGCAATTCCCATCTCCTCTTCAACATGAACTTAATGTCAAGGGGACATTTTCCCACAGTTTAAATTCTCCCCCCCCGTGGATTCAGACCATTATATCTCTAATGATTTTGCAAAGAACAGTACAACACAGACTCTTCAGGATTTCAGTGACTTACTTTCTTGCAGGGAAGTAAAGCAAGTGGCTGATCTGAAGCTGTAAAGAATGTGGCTAAATAGTTTATGAACCAGATTTCTTGAGAAACTTATGTCCTAGGAATTAATAATTAAAACTAAAAGTTTATAGTGCCATCATGTTACATTTAATGGCAGTTGCTATAAGTGTTTCTGAAGTAATAGTGCAAATGTAATTTCAAGTGTTTGCCTTCTCCTCAGAAATACACACGAAGGTCTGATTCTGGATCTGTAGAAAGTGTTGGTATTTATCAAGATTTTGATAAGAAATCCAGAGCACCAGGAGGAGATGCAACAGGTGAGAAAAACTGCACTGTTTTAATTTAGCAGTTAAACTACCAGACTGCACAAGCTAACAATTTAAGTTGTTATTCATCCTTGCATTGCAATAGACAATTATTTTTTTTAATAAGCACTGTTGAAAAATATTAAATCATATATTTACTTTCTCATAGCCACACAAAATGCTTACTTAACTATTGATAAATACCTGTAGTTTTTGGTCCATGAGCATACTCACCTTTATCCAACATGCTTGCTTCATTTGTGGCAATGCAGTTCCCCATGATGGAACTGGAGGATGCTTCCCTCCCTCTGGGCCTGAAATGTCATGCATGTTGTTAATTGTATTGGTTTGTTCATAAACCATTAGAAACCAACCACAAGTGCTGTCTGTTTCAGGATTTTAGTCAAAATACTGCTTGGAGTAGTTTAAGTAGTGCCTGGGATCCTGTCTCTGCAGGTTCAGAGTAAGGTGTGGGGGTTTTGGGTTGTTTTCAGATTTTTTTACTATCACCAAAGAGTTCTAGCATTGTATAAGCCTTATTTTCATAACTGCTAACCTAACATAATTTATGCAAATATAAATGTAACAGTCAAAGTAACTTTTTACCAGATGGAAATCACCAGGCTCAGTAAGAGATAACGGGTGCTTTTGTAGTGGTACAGGATTTCATCCATTTATTGCACCAGTTCTGTTCAAATGCCCAGTAAGAAATTTATTTTGATATTACTTCTTCCAGTTTGCCAGAACAGAGGAAAAAAAAAACCACAACCAACCTCTTGCCAAGGTGTTTTGGTTTAGTACTAAGTCAGGGTGCAGCCACTGTTATTCCTCCCTGGGTTATCGCAGATGCTGGGCAGCTTATGGGGTGTACATGGTATCACCTCATGATTATCATCAGGGTCATCTTAGTGACCCAGCAGATCAATGCAGTGGAGGTCAAAATAAAATACAGTTATTAGTTTTAGGATATAATCAGGATTAACCTGTATGATCATGCTGCTTAGCCAGCACTGGGCAGAAATCAGATCTTTTCATGGCCAATCTGCTTAGACAGACAAATATCCCATTCTGCTAACAGAATATAAATAATTTGCTTACAAGAAGTTCTTGTAAAGTATCTTTTTCTCCAAAGTATGCTGTGTCTTAGTCATAGTGCCTTTGGTTTTTATAATGCTGAAATACTGCTTAAAGCAAGCCTGAGGAACAGTCACAGAGTCAGTTCAAATCCAAGTATCAAGTGTGCTCAAATGATTTAAACTTTGTGACAAACAACAGGAGCTGACCCTTCTGTTCAGATTCACCAGTATTCCAGCACCAGATGCACTGAAATACATGTCAATACTTAGTTCTTACCAGGGGATCTGAGTCACACAGTATTGCTGCATATATTGAACTTTAAACTCCCTGTTTCAACCGGCAGATAGCGAGTACGATAAACTCTGGGAGGGAAGCACAGCCAAGACAGCATCACGAATTGCAAGAAGGAGAAAATTCAACATAGACAGCTTTGTCTTCCATAAAGTACTAGGGAAAGGAAGTTTTGGAAAGGTATGTGACAAACTTACAGCCCTTACGGCGAGAACCTTGCTTGGTTTCTGCAATATGGCAGGCTCTTTCCATTAACCAGACAGGTCTTAGAGCTGCTTGTGTAGATGATCTTTAAACAGAACTGAATGTCTTTTGTCAAAGACACAAGAAATTCCTTACCCGAGTGTTGTCTAAACCCAAAAGTGATTCATAATGCACAATAGTTTTTCAGTTGTTTAGTATTAAGGTAGAGGAATTGCCCTTTGTGCACCACAGTGCAAAAAATTATTTTATATTCATACACACTGTGTAGAAACAGCCTTGTGATGCTCGGGTGCAGTGGCAGGGGGAGGTGGGAGAGAGCAGCGTGACCTCCCCAGAGTCCATCTACTGTTGTCTATGAAACTGCAGCTCTAATGAAGGAACAGGCTTTACATGTTTTCTGTTTATACATTCACTAAGACACCAACAGAAAAAGTGCCCTGGAAGCTGCTGTGCTAGTGCTACACAGCCCTTGAACTCCACCTCCTCATCTCTATACCCAGCATCTCACTCATTTTTCCCATTTAAATGTTTTTTTAATTGTTACTTCACCTGCTACAAACACCTTTGACTTTCCCTTATTGATATCATCAGCAACAGCGTTTCCTGCGTGTGCTGTAATCTCATCTTGGGTTTTTCTGTTGTAGGTTCTGCTCGCTGAGCTGAAAGGGAAGAATGAATTTTTTGCTATCAAAGCTCTGAAAAAAGATGTGGTGCTAATTGATGATGATGTGGAATGTACCATGGTGGAAAAGCGGGTCCTGGCACTTGCATGGGAAAATCCATTTCTCACCCATCTCTACTGCACTTTTCAGACAAAGGTAAGGAAAAACCCAGTGGTGACAGCAACACAACAGATTTAGCCTTGTAATGGATGCTGTCACCAGCAGTCAAGCGAGAGTGACTTAGTGATGTGAGAATTAAATTTCCTTTTCTTGTGCTCTGTACAGTAGTTCAGAAACCTTGTGGAAATATGAGCATGACCCCCACATGCATTGATGAGAACAGAGTAAGATCAGAAAAACATCTGTGCAATTTAGAATAAGAGGCAATTTAACTTAAATCCTTCATCTGAGCTTTTCCCTCGGTGAGGGGAAGAAAAGATGCCTGTCACATGTAGAAGTCAGTAAGTCTATTTAAGTGTCTGTTAAATCTAGAACTGCACAGAATACAGGATCAGCTGTCTAGTTTTACAAGACAAGACCAGGCTACTCAACTCTATAGGAGACTCTTGCTCTCTATAGGGTGCATGAAATAAATACCTCTGGAGGGGAGCAAAGTGGCAGCTTGGTCCCCAGAACACACATCTCTACTTCATACATGACTGCAATACAACCAGTAATTTTTCCATTCTCTGGTTATTTGCAAACAGGATCATCTGTTCTTTGTTATGGAGTTCCTGAATGGGGGAGACCTGATGTTCCACATACAAGACAAGGGGCGTTTTGATCTCTACAGAGCAACGTAAGACCATAACCTTTAATTCCCTAGCTCCTTGAATGATGTTAGTCTCTGTTTTTACTGCTTCTAGTTCTGCACCACCTACCTGCCCTGAAGTTTCAGTGGCTGATCATTGAAAAGGTATTTCTAAGCACTTGTTTAATACAGTGAAGAAACTCACTTGATGACATGTAGAGTTTCTTAGTTTACATGCAGTGTGATATTTTACTTTATGGGATGTTTGTTCCTAGAGATGCTAACTAAACTGCAACATGAGCCAGCAACAAAAAACAAAAGGGACAGTTTCAGCATCCTTTAGGAAAGAAAAAGGCTAGAAAAAGCACAGGAGAAAGACAAACATCACGTTTATATTACTTAGTAGTATTGCTAACTTGATGTGACAGTACAGAGGGGTAACCTGTACGTCCCACAGGATACTAGTAACATGGGTAGGCACTTTTTCAGCAAGTGCAGTTGTGTCAGCTACCTATGGCTTCAAGTTCACTGGAGCTGAAGATTCAAAAGATGCAAAACCACTGTACTGTTGTTACTTTTTCTATGACTTTTTTTTGTTTAGGTCAGTTTCTAGCGCTCTCATCCGAAAGCATGAGGGTTTTAATTGTATCACTGAATGGGTGCATGCAAGACCTTAAAAGTAACAGTGCAGGGTACCAGTACCCACCAGTGCTGTCGTATAGGCAGACTGAAAATAACTTCTGTTAGTGTGCCCTCTGCTAAGGAACACTGACAAGATGGGATCAGATCGGGCATCTGGCATAAACAGTGGCTGGGTAGCAGCCAGCTTTACAGGTCAGGGCAAGCTCCCTTCCCACCCTCCCCGGGTGGGATATCTGATAAAGCCCTGCAGTTTACCTGCATTCCAGCAATCATCTGTGCATCTGGCAGCCTCTGCAGCTGTTCCTGAAGTTTGGGGTCAGCATTCATTCTGCTGTACAGAAATAGAAATAGTTTTGTATTTGTTCAATTAAGAAAAACCCCAAACTTCTAATTCATTCTGGGGGAAGCATGCTTTTAGCATTTTCCTTCATATCCTCTGGATTATCACCTCATTTTCTGAGGAGAATGCCTCTGAAGCAATCCTATTTTCAGTCTGTCTGCTGCAAGGGGGCAGAGGGAGATGACTGAGGTCTGTTTCCACCCTAGCCATTAGTGCCCAGTCCTTCCTAAAGCAATCCTCAGTACTGAGCTCCCAGTAGCTGTCTTTCAAAAGGCATGTGCATATCACTAAAAAAACATACAAAGACTATTAAAGAGTAGAACAGGGAGAGTGTTCCCTAATGGAAGTGGAAGGAAGCATTAAGGCAAGTTGCTCTCGTGTCCCCCTCTACTGTTTGGTATCAGATACTACAGATCTGTGCTGAGGGGATTAACTTGCAGATAGCAGCATCCAGCTATCCAAGTACAGGTATACAGTATTTAAAAGCATACAGTAGTTCTCACTCCATGAAGAGCTACTTACAGCAGCTCTTCTGGCAGCTGCATTGACTGTGTTTAATTGAGCAAGACAGATTAAAAGATGTTTTGGTCTTTTCAGGTTTTACGGATCCGAAATTTTATGTGGGCTACAGTTTCTTCACAGCAAAGGCATTATTTACAGGTGAGTACTGACTGTGAATTGTCTTAGGACTTCATGCATCTTTGAATTACTGATTGATGTAACAAGTGAAAGCTGCCTGTCAGATATCTGATGCAATTCCAAGGGCATTAACATGCCTGAGACAAATCTGTATCTCTGTGTCTTTTCCTTGGCAACTAGAATGATGGCCTGTTATTTATGTTACACAAAAGCCCTTTTGTTTCAGTTATTTTTAAACACTGCTTTCAAATCATGAGTCTATTTAGTTTGGAGGCAAGGGAGAGGGTCCTTGAGGCTATCCATTCCTGCTGCCTTGTGAAAACCTTGTGGTTGTCTGGAACCACAATATTAATGTTTCTGCCTCACCAGGTTGAAACATCAGGAGCCAGATCCTGATCAACTGCTTCTTGCTGTAAATACCTGCACTACAAAAGATCAGAAGTTTATTTTCATGTAGTTTTTCTCTCAGTTTCCTTTCTCTCAGCCTTTTCACCCCACCCCAGCTTCAGAGCACCATTTAGTGACTATTTCCTCAGGTAGCTCTTACCTCTGTTACAAACAGGTTCAAAGAACTGGCTGCGTGCTTCTCAGCATGTTACACAAGGCCTGAGGTAAAGGTGCCCCAGAACCTCTGGTATTGTCCATAGAAACAGGAAACATCTGTTGGAGCATCATCCTTTAAAGCAATTTTCTGAAGTTAGAGACTACTAAAAAAGGTTTTTTTTGTAAGGAGGATGAACATTACAGGAATCCTCCTTGGTGAGGAAAGACTGTTCTTACAAGCCTGTCTGCCCATCAGAGAAGGCAGCTGTAACCCAGGGAGGTGCTTCATGTACCCAGCTGTATTCCCACTGCCTCCTGCAGGTTCTTTTACAGGAAAGGATCGAACTCCAGGATATGTTGTCAGCAGCACAAAACCCTTCCATCCCAGCTTTTCTAGAGCATTTTTAGGCTTGTGGTTAAATTTCCTATATTAAAATTAGAATGTTCCTGGGGGAAATTTTGTAGCATGAAATATTTTCAGAGAAAATACTGTTTTCCTCACGACACCAGCAAAACCAAAGGTACTTGTACTCTTTTTCCCCTCTGTCTCAGGCAGGATGTTTGGCAGTATAATCACAGAACCTGACTTGGAGCAGTTTTAGGCAGGTGTTGCATGTAAGTGCACATTCATGCAGGTCATTTTAGAACTGTAGCTAGGGAAGTGCACTGCCCTAAGTTACCATGAGTCTTCCCCATCTCAAATATATTCAATTTACTCAGGTGAACAGCAGCTGATGTCCAAACATGGAAGGAGTTATGGTGCGTTGCATTAGATCAGGGACTGTTGGTTCGAGCTCCAGCTCACCGTCTGAGCAGTGTAAGTAGCCAATACTGGGAACTTCAGTGAGCAAGGAGAAAAGACAGCCCTGTTCTCATGTAAAATGATCTGCTCTATTCAAGTCTTTCTTGGTAAGCAGAAGGGCTGTTCAGTTTCTCTTCAGCCTGCCCTCCTTGGTATGTGCTTTTGTAGCCAGATGGACAAAAAACTGTATCAGAGTCAAAGGGAGGGAATGTAGCTTTTGGAAACTGCTGTGAAAAGCTCTTTCTTGATTGAACAGTGTTATTCTGTAAAGAGACATGAATAGGACATTTCACACACCACGGCCACAACACATGAAGCCCCTTGTGCTGCAAGGAGGAACAAGTCACAGGTAGCATTAACAGCTGAGCAACCTTCAAACAGTCACACTCCTGCCAAAGGCCCTAAAAATCCAACAATCCTTGTTTTGAGCTGTGGAGCTGGTGCAGCGCTGCCCTCTCAACTGGTGGGGCATTAACTC